GATGTTTCTTTTCTTTTCCACCTCAGATATAAATGCTGGAGGCTGCTTGAGCTTGAAAGTTTTCCCCAGGGGGGCTTTCTGGGCAACTCCTTCAGATCCCAGGACTGAAAAGACCTTTGGAGACCCAGGAGATCCACAGGGCCCTTCTGGATCCCTGTCAGAGAAGACACCAGAAATGGATGCAAACAAGCCAGCCTGGAAAGAAGTGGGAAAAGACTCTGTTTCTGCTCAGCCTGGGAGCTGTGGGGAGATCTGGTCAGGCCCCAGGCAAAAGATCCCAGAGGAGGAAGAGGAAGCCCTCATGTTTGAGAACCAGCATTGGTATTTCAGGAATAGCTTCTTTAAGGAGGCCGACGGGCCACGAGAACTTTGCAGCCGCCTTCATCGCTTTTGCTGCGGTTGGTTGCAGCCCGAGAAGCACACCAAGGCTCAGATGTTGGACCAGGTGATCTTGGAGCAGTTTTTGGCTGTCTTGCCCAGGGAGATGCAGTGCTGGGTGAGGAAGTGCCAACCGGGTACCAGTTGCCAGGCAGTGGCCCTGGCTGAAGGTTTTCTGCTGGATTGGGCAACGAGGGAGGAGCAGGAAGGGTGCCAGGTGAGAGACACACCTCTTGGGAAATATGGAGGGATCTTAAGAGACTTCAGGGGATTAATAACACAAGACCTTTAAAGAACCTTGTTAGTGAAATTGTTCCTCTGTTCTTCCAGATGATTTGGAACAGAGTCCCCATTGGCCTCTTCCATCTCTACTGATGGACATAGCTATGGCTTGCAACATTGTAGATAGAACAAAAAATCCAGTTATACTGTTGGGTTCTATTACTCACTTCCTTGTTTATATTTCAGGTTCTGAAGTCCTTCCTGGAGGTGGTCACTGATTGTCCTCAGGCAAGGAGGGATCCCAGGAATCCTGCTCAGGGGCCGTTGCTCAGAGAGATTTCCAAAGAGAAAATTCAACATCACAGTGCCTCATTAGGTAATGGAAGATCCTTCTATTAGGTTATAGGTTTTTCAGAGCTTCTGGCTGTTCTTAATTCTTTGCGTCTTCTCATGTCTAGTTGTTGGGACTTATTAGAAAAGATTTAACTCTCTCTCTTGAAGCTAGAATGCTTTAAGTTCCATGAAGGAATTCTGTCCCTTCCATCCACACACTACTTTCCGATGATTCCCCGTTTGCAGAAGACTGATTCTTCTGGAGATCAATCTGGATTGCATTCTGACGCCTCCATTCTGAGGTTCTTGGTCCTTAGAGATGAGGAGGGAGAAAACCTGTCCTTCTTGATAGATGATTATGAGTAAATTCTCATATATTTCTTGGCCTGACCATCTCTGCTTGCAGGCTTGTTCCTGGATGCCGGGATTTCATTAGTTCACTTCTTACATAGAATGTGATGGTTTCAGGCTGCAAGGGGTGGAGAGAGAGCATCAACAGGTTGAATGAAAAACTGGATTGCCAAGAGTCAACTTCCTTCTCTCATTCCTGCCCAAGAGGCTAGGAGAGAGGTTAAATTGGGGTTTGTTCCCCAGTACATGCTGGAGCTGTGGTCTTCTCGTTTTTTTATTCTTGACTCCCAAAATGTATCCCATAAAATGCCACCAAAAGAAGAGTGTGATGGATGGAAGTTTCTTCCAAAAGACAGGAAAAAATACAATGTTGTGCCTTCAAACTTGAAAAGATAGAGTTAGTCCTTTTTTTAAAAAAA